CGTGTGCCGAAGGCGGCATGCAAGCTGATTTTCAGTGGCACTCACACTGCCCGGGTCCTGGCCACCCGTCCGGGGGGGCTCTGCATTTTAATTTAATTTTAAATGAAGCTTCTTAAACATTTTAAAAACCTTATTTACTTTACATACACAATAGTTTAGTTATATATTATAGACTTATAGAAAGAGACCTTCTAAAAACGTTAAAATGTATGACTGGCACGCGAAACCTTAAATTAGAGTGAATAAATGAAGACTCGGCACCCCACTTCTGAAAGGTTGCCGACCCCTGAGCTAGGTCAACGCCCCACCAACTGACAAGCTGCTGAACACAACTTGGCCTTGTCTGTGCTGCCCACTGCCATGCTCAGCATTTTACCTAGTTCAATTGCTACATATAGTGTGTGAACCGAGTGAGGCTTCCTAGCGATGACAAACCCTGAGGGACTGTGATGGGAAGAGGATAAGGATGTGGCCAGTGGGTCCCTGGACTGCATGTATCTATTGTCCCATGAGGGGAAGCAGGTCCTTGGCCTCTACTCCTGCCCCATACTCCTGCCCCATGATGTAGTGACTACGCAGGAGATGAATAAGGATTCTGTTCCTCAGACCTGAAGAAGGGCTCAGTGTAAGTTTCAAAGCTTCTCTCGCTCCCTAGCAGAAGTTGGTCAACTAAAAGCTATTCCCTTACCCTCCATTGCCTCTCGCAGGCCCACGAGAATATGGCTGAGCAAGAGCCTGTTTACTCAGGCTGTGTCCTTTGTGTAGGAATGTCACCACTGGGAGGTGGTCCCAGCTTCACCAGCTCCCTGTTTAATGTGCTCTGCATGTTTAATTAATGGAGCATTTACCCCTTTCCAAGGGTCATTAATGAAGATGTGAAATAAATAGGGCAAAACACCTACGCCTCCTCCACTGCCATAAACAACAACTCCTAACTGAATACTGTCCCTTTTATTGTCACGCTTTGTCCCCGATCCTTCAGGAAGTGTTTGGTTTGATTTCCAGACAGTGATGAGATTGTGGTGTTAGAGGTTACTCAGCCAGCCTTTGTAAAGTTGGAGGAAGGTCACTGGATTATTCCCACGAACTTGATTTCAAGATTCAATCCAAATTCTGATTTTCCAGACTCCAAATATGTGAATTATTCACGTTTGAATGTAGCTCTGTGCCTGAAATTTATGATGAAATTGCAATTCCTTTTTACAATTCTGTGATTTTATTGATTTTTTTTTTTACCCCAGTTATCCCACAAGACGTTTCTATTATTGGGATTTACCAATATTGTGACCAACTCTCATTCTTAGAGAGTAGGACTGCGACTGGCATAAATCAGACAATCCTCTTAATAATTAATTGTGCACATTAATGTGCAAAGGCTGCCTGCATCTTCCACTCACCGTGGAGTTCCCCTTCTGGAAAAACTGGCCCATATGAGCCAGTCATCCAGATAGGAAATACCATACAAGCCTTACATTTGCAGGGAAACAGCCATCTTCTGAAAGGCTGGAGTGCCATGACCAGAGCGTGTGGAAAAGAGCTGAGATGTAGGGTGACTCATAGGATATGCGAATAGAACTTCCTTACATGTGTCCAGACAGAACGGTCACCCAGACTGCACGCTGTTGGACGTGATACCAAATTCTGAGCTCTGCATCAGCACATTTTTGAATTAGCTAAAGAATTTGGCATTTTAGGTCTAGGGCTGATTGCATCCCCTTGGCTACTTGGCCCCTGAGAATCCTCTTGAAGGTACTCCCACCTACAGCTGCTTTCCTGGCACATGGCCTATGACTTGTATTGCTGCAGAGAAATTTGCACCTCTACGCTGGGAGAAAGTATTATTTTGGAGAAAGAGGAGGGGAGAGAGAGACTGTGCAGGATCCTGCTCACAGCTGAATAACCCATTTGCCCTGTGTTGTGGCTGCCCATTTTGGCTGAGAAAGGGAACTTGTCATTCTCCTAGTGCCGTGCTCAGAAATGGGAGAGACTGGTTCAGAACTGAAAACCGTGGGAGGCTGGGGCATGTCTGTTGGACTGAAGGACCTGAGGAAGGAAACACCTTGAATACTGTGTCCAGTTCTGTTCGCCCCATCTCCAAATGGATGTAGTGGAACTGGAAGCAGTTCAGAGAAGAGCAACAAAGATGGTCAAGGGTATGGAATGGCTTCCATATGAGGAGAGAGTACAAAAAATTAGGGCTGTTCAGCTTAGAAAAGAGACACTTACGTGGGGATATGGTAGAGCAGGGGTGGGCAAACTACAGCCCAGGGGCCACATCTGGCCCTTGAGGCATTTTAATTCAGCCCTCGAGCTCCCGCCGGGGAGCGGGGTCCAGGGCTTGCCCCGCTCTGGTGCTCCAGCAAGGGAGCAGGGTTGGGGGCTTGCCATTAGCTCCGTAGGGTTCCTGGAAGCAGCGGCATGTCCCCCCTCCGGCTCCTACGCGTAGAGGCAGCCAGGGGGCTCTGCTTCACACACTGCCCCCGCCCCAAGTGCCACCCCCACAGCTCCCATTGGCTGGGAACCGCGGCCAATGGGAGCTTCAGGGGTGGCGCCTGTGGATGGGGCAGCACACAGAGTCGCCTGGTCGCGCCTCCGCGTAGGAGCCGGAGGGGGGACATGCCGCTGCTTCCGGCAGCTGCTTGAGGTAAGAGCTGCCCGGAGCCTGCACCCCGACCCCCTCCTGCGCCCCAACCCCCCTGCCTCAGCCCTGATCCCCCTCCTGCCCTCTGAACCCTTTGGTCCCAGCCCGGAGCACCCTCCTGCAACCTGAACTCCTCATCCCCAGCCCCACCCCGGAGCCCTCACCCCTCCCTGCACCCCAACCCCCAATTTTTTGAGCATTCATGGCCCGCCATACAATTTCCATACCCAGATGTGGCCCTTGGGCCAAAAGGTTTGCCCACCGCTGTGATAGAGGCTCTGTAAAATAAGAACATAAGAATGGCAGAACTGGGTCAGACCAATGGTCCATCTAGCCCAGTATACTGTCTTCTGGCATATACATCCGAAGAAGTGGGCTGTAGCCCACGAAAGCTTATGCTCTAATAAATTTGTTAGTCTCTAAGGTGCCACAAGTACTCCTGTTCTTTTTGCGGATACAGACTAACACGGCTGCTACTCTGAAACCTGTCTTCTGACAGTGACCAGTGCCAGATGCTTCAGAAGGAATGAACAGAACAGAGCAATTGTTCAGTGATCCTATCCCCTGTTGTCTAGTCCCAGCTTCTGGCATTTGGAGGTTTGGGGACATCTGGAGCATAGGGTTGTATCTGCGACCATCTTTGCTAAAAGCATTGATGGACCTATCCTCTATCTAATTCTTTTTTGAACGCAGTTATAGTTTTGGCCTTCACAGTATCCCCTGGCAATGAGTTCCACAGATTGACCATGCGTTGTGTGAAATACTTCCTTATGTTCATTTTAAACCTGTTGCCTATTAACTGCATTGGGTGAGCCCCAGTTCTTGTGCTATGTGAAGGGGTAAATAATACTTCCTGATTGACTTTCCCCACACCATTCATGATTTTATAGACCTCTATCATATCCCCCCTTAGTCATGTCTTTTCCAAGGTGAACAGTCCCAGTCTTTTAATTTCTTCTCATATTCCATACCCCTAATGATTTTTGTTGCCCATCTGTGCCTTTTCCAATTCTGATATATTCTGAGATGGGGTGACCAGCGCTGCACACAGTATTCAAGGAGTGGGCTTATCCTGGATTTCCATAGTGGCATTATGATATTTTCTGTCTTTTTCTCTATCCCTTTCCTTATGGCTCCCAACATTCTTTTATTTATTTATTTTTTGACTGTTGCTGCACGTTGAGAGAACTATCCATGACCACTACAAGATCTCTTTCTTGAATGGTAACACCTAATTTAGACCCCATCATTTTGTATATGTAGTTGGGATTATGTTTTCCAATGTGCATTACTTTGCACTTATCAACATTGAATTTCATCTGCCATTTTGTTGCCCAGTCACCCAGTTTTGTGAGATCGCTTTGTAGCTCTTCACAGTCTGCTTTGGACTTAACTATCTTGAGTAGTTCGGTA